TATATATATATATATATAGTTATATTTTTTTAGTGGGATTTGATAACTATGATCATTAAAATTTTTACTACAAGGTATGAAGGTGGTCAGTTTTTCATTCGTTCCACTGGGTGTTACTTTCATATAAACATGTGCACTAATAAAGGTTTACCAAATAGACTTATAGTAACATGACGGTTAAGGATAATCTGAAGTTAGATCACCTCTAATGAGCATGAGAGTGACGACAATCTTAAAATGTTTATCAACAAGATTCAAAGCTGTCACTGAGGGTCGAATGTAAATCATCCCAGGACCCAGCATGCAATGTTAGAAAAAAAAAAAATAGCCGACTTGAATAAAAATGAAGTAAATAAAATTGAAGTTTTCTTCTTTTACTAATGATAACAGTAGTTTGTTTTAAGCTGGAATGCTTGTTTAAATAATACTTTTAAGATGGTTATAATTGACTAATCTCAAACTACACTTTACAAATTTCTAAACGTCGGCTGACAACCTATTTAAATGTCTGTTTGAGAGGGGCCAACATCATTTGCTCAAAATGGATATGCCATTAGAATAAATAATGTAGTATTTAGACCATACATCTATCCCAATAAGGCTTTTAAATGTTGCTCTTCTAGATTTCATTACTTCAATTCCCATATTAAATAAATTTCATAGATATTTTGTCAATCAAAATGGTGAATATTCTCATTTCCTGTCCAAAAACAATATCCAAAAAATATTTTATTTTTTTATTTTGTTTGTTGTACTGTGTCAATACTATTAATAAACGTGTGGGTGCAGTCAAATGACAAGATTGAAACACAATGAATTAATGTTAATTAGTTATTGCTGACAATGTAACGGATCACTATGCATAAATAAAGTAAATAACTTACTTGTCAATTGAAGATTTTCGTTCGGCTTCATTTTTAATCTGGAATGTTCGTAATAATTCGAACCAGGACTGACATGAAAAAGGTAACCTTGAGATCAAAATATTTCGATGCATTTAGAAGTGGTTTATTTTGTTAAAACATTTTTTTAAACACTTGGTTTAGTCCAGCAATCTAGATCAAGGTCATGGCGCGTCGGACATCCTGATTAAAGGTTTTGACAGACCGTCATACAGCTCAGGAAATCAATTCGTAGACGAAAGAAAATTGGTAAAATATCAGAGTGATTGAGCATGCCGAGACATATGCAATCGGCATACACTTTTCAATGAACTTTTTACTTTATTATTCCCATCAGACCACCAATGTTACCCATAATTAAAAAAAAAATAATAATTACAAAATGTTGAAATGTTTTTTTTTTAAGGCTTAACAAGTGTCACACTGATTCCGCCCCAGAATAAATGCATAATGTACTTTAGATTAAAGATATGAATGTTAAGAGAAAAAACAACAACGCTGAGTAAGTGAATTGTAAAATAGCACGTCATTCCCAAATATAGACATTGCACAATCACTTCCGCCAGTGACGAAAAACATGTTTTAACACCACCCACCAACAACCAACTACACCAAGCAAGAAGACACGTGGTGCTTTTTGCATTAGCAGTAAAAGGCATACTTTCAATACAGCAGGTAAAATCATCCTTTTTATAGCAAACTCTTCTGTAATCAACTTGTATAAATAATAAAATGGCTTTAAAGCCAAGATGAAATAGTTGCTAGGAGAATCATATCAAATTTTTTACAACATGAATTTAAAAGAAAAACTGTTGTTGTTTAAAAAAAAACTCCAGTTACAAAGTCAAGTCAACAACGGAAATGTCTGTAAGTTACATGGTGATTGAAATAGTGTTTTTACAACCACAAAAAAAAAAAAGAAGAAAAAACCAAAACATTTGGTTGGGCAAGTGACACTACTGACAAAGACCGTGTGATCTCTATATTATGCCTTCACTATATTTAAGATTGCAAACCTGTCTACCCGTGGGTTAGTGTCAAGGTACCTCTCAAAAAAGATAGCTTCATGCTTCAAATAGTAGTTTGGTCAATTGGGAAAGTGTGTGGGGGGGGGTGAGGCTGGTTTGCAATCAAAATACAAGTTGTAGAAGGAAATCCACCCGACTGCTTATGAATGTTAACACAAATGAATATACAGGATATAGTGTGTGGGGGGGGGGTGAGGCTGGTTTGCAATCAAAATACAAGTTGTAGAAGGAAATCCACCCGACTGCTTATGAATGTTAACACAAATGAATATACAGGAAATAGTTCTGAGATTTGTTTCTTAGGGATGATAAAAGGTTTAACATTAATTTAGTGATTTAACTTTACGCTATCATTGCGGGGTTACGCCCACTTAAAGAATACACTTTTTTTAATTTTCGGGAATGGAAAAGAGGAAGTGACGTTGTCCCGCTTTCATTTTAATTGGTCGCTGCCATGGTTCGGCCATGTCAACATGGGATTGAATGGCGGTAATATGAATTGATGGAAAGAAATTATTCAGACTGAAAGTATGCTATATTTAAAAAAAAAATAATAATAATAAATGTAGGCCCTGTATATAATTTGAGTTTCTTTGAATTAGTCCTACTCAACTTATTTGAATTAAATTAAAACACCCCCTCCCTTTCTTACGCCATTACGAACTCACACAAAAGAAAGAAAGAAATAAAGAAAGAGAGAGAGAGAAAGAGAGCGTGAGTGAGTATATCGAGCTAACTCAAGGCAAAATAAGTCATCTCGATCACTTCTACTACATGTTTCTATATGCAACTTAATTTATTTTTTGCATCATGTAGGCCTAATATCTTCAAACGTTCCCAGAATGCCCAACACACCAATGATCAACATCAATATCGAATGCGATGGGGGAACAAATAATTAAAGTCAGGGGTCATCTCATTAAGATAATTTCTCAATCCTAAATTGTCATAAAAAATACGTTAACAACGTCATCAAAAACTCTGACTGGCAAAGGCCAGGTTCAATCATGGCAGACGCAGGATACCTCGGGATGCCTTTCTCTCTGCTACTTCCAAGGTCAATAAGTGCAGATGCAGAGTAGGCCTACATAAGCTACCTTGATAATTTTGGTTAAAAAGCTCTGCAAAGTTTCTAGGCAAAAGAAGCTCAGTCGTTCAAGTTTATATTGAGCATAAAAGCAGTCATGCCACTTGTTTAAATCCAACTAAGTAACCCACCGATAGGTAGGTAACTGTTGAGCAATACTGGACACGACGGAAATATTTTAACGGTGATACTACGCAACACGTCACGCTGGATCGTCGTTCTGTAACAAGACGTGCGCACATGCCAACTAGTTCTCATCTATGGAATTCATTGGTTTGTTTGAACAACTCAATGTCCAAAATACATGCTTCCTTACATCTAAATCAAATCTCTTTCAAATTTTACGCTTGAGTTGTTCAATTTAAAGAGGGTTAAAATGTTAAAGGCAGAGATGCAATTTACTTTTCAAGTTCATTTCCATATACAACTGGCCCCTGCGGGCCGAATCACCATATAAGAGGGTGGGCACTGCTGCTGCACACCCCACTGTGACAATGGCTCAAATGACTGGACGTCAACCCGCCCCCCCCCCTTTTTTCCCCCTTCTGGACACATCCGGTGATACTCTTCAAATCTGGTAAAAATCCACAAACTGTCTGGCTGTAAGACGTCATAGAAAAGCGCACCATGCTCTGGACACCTGCTGATGCACTATAAAGTACTTCGGACCCACTCCACTGGGCTATATTTATTTTTCATGAAATGTGATAAAAAATACATATAGTTTCCTAGTCCATGGGCACTTCCTCTTTATTCCCTTTGAATCCAACAGAGAATAAGTCCCACCCAAGAGCATAACATAATCACCAAAGAACGATAACTGACAATACATTTCAAATGTCGTTAGCATTACTTTTTTTAAAGAAGAAAACATTTGTTAAAGAAATAGTCATTTGTCTGTTAATAACGAAATTATATTTGTCAGTCTGGCCTGGAGACACATTTAATTAAATGACAAAGATTTCCTTGAAAACCTTTATTTATAACAAGGCATTGTAATTTTTTGGGAAGGTTTCTGCTTACGCCCACCCACCAGGACCTTTGCACTAAGAACAAACGAGTCCAATTTTTTGTTGAGATTTTGATACAGTTCTGCAGCATAATTGTATGAGAAATGACTTCTTCTTCTTCTATATTTTAAGGGCCCACGATCAATTTATTGATCATTTTGGCTCCTATGCATGTATGTTCGGTATGTGCTTGTTTAGATCAACAACTGTTTACAAGAGTTCAACCAAGTATCCAGTTATTAACTTATGTCCAATTTGAAATGAGACATTGGAATTATAAGTTAGAGGGGAACAAAAATGACTTGGGAAAATATAACTAAAAATATTTAAAACAAAAAATAAAACAAGCAAAACTTACATTTTCAATAAACAAATGTATTTCTGAATTGAGTGTCTAACTTTGTTAGTTATTCTGGAACATGTTCCAATATGAACATTTATTTAATGAAAAAAATTAGCATTAAATAACATTAACATCAATTTGACATGAAATTTCCCCCCATCAACAATTTTAAATAACTGGTGTGCTAGTAATGGTTAGAGAAAAACTTGACATCCATCTCCCCAGCATGACCCTGATCCATTACCTACAAAGCACAAGAAATCCAGATATACAAAAATACATACATACAAATTCACTACTTACTGCCAATTTTACCGGCTGTGCAAACACCAGTGCAATGCTGGATTAAATCATTATAATATGTACATACAAGTTTTAAATATTGGTGATAAAGTATCAGTCAAGATATTTAGGGAATCACCCAGTCAAATATTCTGGATTTTCACAAGCCATGATAAAAAAAAAAAACCAAACATTTTATCTTATCAAAGAACTTCAAATAAAATAAAAATTAATAAATAAATAATTTCAAAGGATCAGGCTTAACACCAATCAAAGCTCTGCCTGACATAAACTCAGGACCATTATATTATAAGCCTACATTTAGGCAGAATCTTGGACACATCATTTTAGGAAGTTACACAGCCTTCTTTCTTGTTACCAAAGTTAATCTCTTCATTCTGCCATTTATTTTGTAACTCATTGCCTTGAAATTTAAAGTATTCCTTGCTTGATAGAATATATTTTATATATAAAACTCTTAAACAGCATTCTCCAACAACTGATACATTTTATGTGAATCACACTCATGTAAGTCTCAAATAAGCGATGTTCTTGATAACAAAGTTTAAACAAGATGACAAAATCCATCTAACAATTATTCAATACACTGAACACATAAAATTTTGCCTAAGTCAATTCCATGGCCCAAGTTTCAAGAAAGAGCCATTTAACTTTTGGAATTTTATGAGTGAAATCTTTACATAAATGAAACTTAAGATGTTTTCTTTCTAATCTGACTTTCTCAATGATAGCTGAAAGTAAGCTGTAAACATCAGTCTACACCATAGAAGTAAGCTGTAAACATCAGTCTACACTATAGAAGTAGGCTATAAACATCAGTCTACACTATAGAAGTAAGCTGTAAACATCAGTCTATAGTATAGAAGTAAGCTGTAAACATCAGTCTACACTATAGAAGTAAGCTGTACACATCAGTCTACATGATAGAAGTAAGCTGTAAACATCAGTCTACACTATATAAGTAAGCTGTAAACATCAGTCTACACTATAGAAGTAAGCTGTACACATCAGTCTACATGATAGAAGTAAGCTGTAAACATCAGTCTACACTATAGAAGTAGGCTATAAACATCAGTCTACACTATAGAAGTAAGCTGTAAACATCAGTCTACACTATAGAAGTAAGTTTTAAACATCAGTCTACACTATAGAAGTAAGTTGTAAACATCAGTCTACACTACAGAACCCGTACAAAACTAGAATATCAATTCAGAAAGAAAAAATCTCAAATGAAGCCGACATACTATGAGCAACATATTAAAACTGAATTAGCACAGTCAGTAGACTGAAGAAGAAATGATTGGGCTGCATGGCTGTCTGCTGTTACCACCAGCTCACGGTGCAGATTATTTAACTTTTTTTGTAATATATCAATGAGATGCATATTTAAATAAAAAGCATGCATGTCAACTGGTCAGAAACATTCTGTCATGGCCAGTAAAATTGAAACTGGTATGTGTGGAAAATTCCATAAGAACTCTGCAGTCAATAGGACACAGCAAATGGACACTTGCAGATGGCCTGTTTGAAGCCAAAACCAACTGTCTATTTGATTTTATACAATGTATAGGATGTGGAAGGGGGGAGAGCGGTATTGGGTGACTTGCACCCATGGAAAGAGAGTTGGTGAAGGAGATGGTAGGAGGACACTGGGCTGTGGCACCCTCTTCAGTTTTCAATGGGTCCTACAATTCTAGTCATTCCAGGATGCAGTATGGCTCCCATAAATCACTATTTGCAGAGGACTGCAACTGCCCTGGTTAAAACAAATTTGACATTGGTAATTATTCTTCAGCCAATTCAACTGCATCCTTTGCTAATTAACGTCTGTCAAAAGCATCCTGTGATGAATTATTGGTAATGTTTCTGCATGAGTTATCAGTCAAAACATTCTGTCTGGCACAAGGGCTAAATTTTCACAGCCCTAAAAGTTTCATGACAAGCAAGCACATTTTTTACTTTATTGTATTTTTGTTCATTGTGAGAACTTTAAAAAAAAAATAAAAATTTTTTTTATAAGGCATTGAAAAGTTAAACATGTAAAGAGTATTAAACAGGGTCATTTAATGTATCTCAAGCCAGTATTAAGAACCTAATGATGATGCTGAGCTAGAGTAAATATTAGACAACCCAGGTATAAAAAAGACATAATGGGTAGATCAAAACAGAATGATTCAGGGAGCACTTTGGTAGACTGGAACATAAATCATGTAAAGCCATAAAAATACAATTCTATAGATACTAAAGCATTCTTTGTGGACTCCAAACTCATCTATAATTACTTAAAAAAATATTTTGGATGGACTTCAAAACCAAACTAGTCCTAATCAAAATAATGAAATGCTTAAACTTTTGTCCATTTTTTTTATATAGTGCCACCAAGAGACCTAAAAGTGATTCCATGAAGATACTAGATTAATCAAAGAACCAGAAATTGAATTTGTGAACAATGAATTTTAAATGAAAGAAAAAAAAAATGAATATTTATAGCACAAAGCACGTCCAAAAATGATTAATAAATACTGGTAGGAATATAAATAAATGTTCATCAACCATTTAACTAGTTTTTTTTTTTATAGACTGAGATGAATCGATGATGTAGAGAAGGACTTACACCAGTTTTGGGGTCACACATGGAGGCGGCAAGCCACGGATACATCCGAATGGAAGGATGTGGTGAAGCAGGCCAGGACCCTAAATGGGCTGAAGTGCCACTGATGATGGTATCATTTTATGAATAATGCAAATACTACACAGGAGGAATGCTGTTCTCAAACTCCAATAGAATTTAAGCTATGAGACTTGTAAAAAAATCATACAATTATGTTAGGAAGGCAATACAAATTGTCTTTGCCATAAGTAAAAGATTACATGATTGATCTAATGGCTCATTTAAAACTGTCTGCTGATTAATATTTATTCGTGTTGATCAAATCATTTGACCTTATTTTATAATAATCATCCACATAATAGGTAGGTTTGGATAAAAGAATATCTGATGTTCAGATGTTTGAAATAGTTGAAAAACATGTCAATGTTAAATGCATTTATAACTGAACTTGACCAAACCTGTGTCCTCATTTAAATAGGTACAGCTAAAATCACTGTAATATTACATCCATTTATTCCTTGATAATTTGTCACTTAAAACATGATCAGTATCAAACAAGATTATTTGAAAATATTTATTTTTCAATGACTAGTAAAATTTACATAACAATAAGGGAACACAGTTAATTGATAACAAGTAATCGTGGTTTTTAAGCAGCCCAATATATTTGCTCTAAATATGTATTATTCTGATAAATAGTATCCTTATTAGTGGATGTTTGTTCAAAATAAAATATACCTTCTTCATCTTCTCATTTGTTTTCATAAATTAAAAAAAACTCAATAAAAACAAACTTGTTCCCACAGAACAAAAAACATTAAAGCAGTGGTCCTCAAAACTTTTCATCAGGGGGCCTGTTGATTATCCTCCAGACACTGCTTTGGAGCCAGACTTTTGTATGAAAACATTCTGAACAAGTTCCTATGCACTTTGCATAAGGTATATTATATGTACCGGTAGTGAAAAAAAAATGAAAAAAAACAACATAATATTTAAAATGAAGAACAAATTTAGAAGAACATTGTTAGCATTTCAATGGAAAGTATGAGCCTGCTTTTGGCTAAATCGATGGCCAATATTCATCACTGCTACCTGGGTACCCATATGGTGGCCAGATTAAGGGCCTCTGGCGGGCCATAGTTTGAGGACCCCTGTGCTAAAGTATGCAAAGACTGAATGTATCAATTTTATTTTTAAAATGTATGATTTTTTTTTTTTGAATTCCACAGTTTGCTTACATTGGTCATTCCAACTGTTAAAGCAATTATCCAGACATTCTTTTTAATTCACCAAATAGGAAAGGTTTAATTGATGATTTTTACTTTTACCTATTCCTTTTTATTTTTGATCAGGGTCATTTAGTAATCATTGTGAAAATAATAAGGAAATCAATCACTGTTTCAATTCAAAAAATCAAAATTCACCATCACTAACAGGATTAACTATGACCTATAAATCCAATAAAACTGTAGTGTTTCAACTGTCACCTCTAGGATAAATAATGCACAACTATTTGTGTTTGCAACAATATAATCAATAATAATATATTTAAAAAAAAAAATAATAGAGTAAATGGTAAGTAGGGGTACCGGTACATTCAAACAGACTATGGTCATAGCGTTGTGTATCCATCAATTTGATTGTATTAAATATCAAATGATCAAATGTTTAAAATAAACTGTTTAACAGTCAGATGTGGCCCCAACCTCTGAGCCTGTTGTATATTTTATCTGACATCACCAGTCACACAGTGACATATCTGACATAGCATTAGCCAGTCTGTACTATGTCTGACACAACATAAGATTTACTGTAACATGTCTGACATAGCATTAGCCAGTCTAGACTATGTCTCAAACAACATAAGATTTACTGTATAATGTCTGAGATAATACTAATATCAGGATGCAGTCCCACCAACCACATTTTACATTGTCAATTCTGACACTTGCCAAACTATTCCATATCTACTATGTAAAGCTCTGAGTAACTGTGACTGTTTGTTTACTAATCACAAGAATACCAAACAATTGACCACAACCAAATTTGGCATGGTCATTCCTCATGTCAATAGATAGTTCCTGGAAAGTTTGGTCATAATCCCCTTATCTCAAAAGCTTTTCTTTAAAAAATGTTAAAATTTAGTGGGTAAAAGCTATTCTAAGGTGTTCAAGTTAAGTTATTTTTGGTGTATGCATTATTAATAAGAATTTATTCATAAAGGTGTGCTTTCAAACATTTATTAAAGGAAAGTTTTTAGTGCAGTAGCAGCATGCATTTAAATAAAGCTTTGATCTATGTTTAAACGATACAGATTGGCCGTTTAATGCAATCAAATTCTTTAAATGTGTCGAATAAGTATTTTGCTATTTTAAGAAACTACAGTTCATTGCTGCATGGTGTAAGGAGGGTTGAACAAAACTTTAGAATTGTCACATAGTTCAGGGATGTGCATAAAGATTGTTGTGACATATCTAGAAGGCAGTTCTTTCATTAATTTTATTTCCAACTTAAAGTATTAGATTTCTGTGTGGAAAGGGGAATCAAAAGTGCGCGATTCATCCCCGAATCAGCATTTAGTAAAACTAATTCACTGAATGGGTGGGTGGAATTTATGAGTATAGCAATGTCTCAAAGGCACAGTTTGTTACAAATGGAAAAATAATTATTTCAGTCCGTTGGTAGATTTCTATTTTTTTTATTACATTATTTATCTGCTGTATATTCATTATACTATTCACTTCTTAAATGCCACATACAATAAGTTTCTGTCTAGATTTTTTTTACTGACATCAGATAATGACGCGGTGGTGTTTCAGTTAAAAAAGGTGCAAGATACTGAACAATGAAATACCCTTAAAACGTCACACCTGTTATTCATCAATTTGTAAAACGTCATACCTGTATGTAAAACGTGCTTTTTAATTAGGTGATTGTCTTAACTAAAAAAAATTAAATATTTAAGCTCTCAAAAAGATTTTAAATGTTCATCCATGTAGCTCTCTGGTTTAATAATCATTAATTTATATACATGAGAAAATATATCTGTTTGTACCTCATAAATTTCTAAATGAATTAATGGATCATGATCAAACTTGGGATACATAGTTATTATTCAATATCCAGAAGGAAATTCTGACAGGGTTTGAATTTTAAAAAAAAATTATCCCCTTCAGGATTTGGGGCTCTAATATATGAGGTATATAAATAAAATTGTAATTAATGGATAGATCTAAACCAAACTTGGTGAATATAACTTTTTCAAAAGTTTCTTGAAGTTTCTACTTTATTATAGAATGTTTGAATATTTTTTTATAAGGGTTTGAAGAAAATATAAATGTCCTTTTTATATTTCTAATGTTTCTTTAAGTCTCTATGATTTTCCTCTAATGTCATGAAACGAGAGTTGAAAATTTCTTAAGTTCCTAGAAAGTTCCAAATGATTGTAGGTTTTTCTGCAATGTATTTTCCTTATAATAGCCAAAGCTACAGATGAAGGCTTAGTTTTCAATGAAAGCTTCAACATAAATTGTTGCATCTATGCCAAACTTGGTGAACATACTTTTCATAATCCCTTTTAAAATATCTGTGGATTTCAAACTATTTATAGACACATCTTTTTGTGCACGTGGGGGTCCCCAATTTTATTTTCAATAAAATCCTTTATCTTTGGCGTTTTTCAACAGATTTTTATGGGACATTAATTAAAATAAAGTTTGTTCGTTATCCAACCTAATTTGCTGTAAAATATTAAAGAATAAGTTCTTTTGGTGCCGGAGATCACAATAGTAAAAATTTTAATGGAAATTCCTTCAGATTTTAATGGAAAAATTAAATTGAATATTTATGTGAATGATTTTTATTGTGCCCATGTTTTAGAGATAACTAAAATGGCCCCTTTTGGAATAGGGATCCTAATTTATTTTAATTTATAAACGGCTATAGCTTTGACAATAGTGAATACCTTTTTTAACAAGACATCTTTCAAAAGTAAGATTTGCCTTTAAATCATGGTTTGTGGCTGCGCCCAGTTTCAAAATTAACTGAAAAGGGATGCACCCCAAATTAAATTTTTACAAGAGTTATTATACATCTCGCTTTTTTATAGGAGAAAATTTTACATTGTCAATGCTAATTTAGTGAAGTGTTTTGCAAGGGCCCTAAATTTACGTTTACAATGATAACGCTTTTGACAATGTTGGCCTGCTTTCTACCTTTAGTGCCAGCTACAAAGAGGCAACAATAACATTGTTGCTGGGTAAGATCATGACATTCATATAGTGTAAAACCTGATAAATATCATAGGTATCCACAGACTCAGTTTAAATGAAACCATTAAAGCTTACTCAAAGCAACATGAAAACTGTTAGGGACTGCAAAAAACATGTATATGGCTTAATATAGGAGACAGTGCCGTTAACTCGCAAAGTTTATGTTGCAGTAACTCATTAGGAAAATGTACTCCTTTTTTTTCTCTTTTCCTGTAAAGAGAATTTTAGACCTTAAAGTTGTCAAGTATCCACACCAACTTGGACCCAGAGTGCACTCAAGTTTTGCACTGGTTGCCAAACAATCCGCAGATGTGCTCATGCTGTCAATATATCTAGTGACTTATCATAGTGCATGTCTGTGGCAATGAGGGCCTTGAAGATTTGTTCACTTTGGAAACCAAGCTCCTGAAACTGTGAATGCATGTTGAGAAATTTCTCTGCCTGGTGAACAGAATTTTAAAAATATATGTTAGTTGAATATATATTGCTGATGTTTAATAGTTTTTAAAAAATGATATAAATGAAAACTTGAGAAAAAAAATACTGGAATACCTTTAGTTGTTGTATTTTAATGAGAGGATTCATAAAGTGAATTCAGCTTTAAAAGATATTTTCCTAATTGCTGGGGGGGATTTCAAACAAAAAAAAAACAATAGTGTTGCCATTCTTCTTTTATAAACAAAATTAATTTTTAAAACTTTCTTTATTTAAAAAAAAAAAAAAGAAAAATTATTATACAATTATTTACCATTTATTTATTTCTCAGACATCAGTCAATAGTACTTAAAATTAGTAGAAAGAAAAATATGACACAAACAAATTGATACAAATCTAGTTAAACAGTAAAACTCTAATAATCAACATCTGATGAGGTGAAATTGGATTCAATAATTCTAAAAGAGAATAATAGAACTATAGGTGTGAATGTCACAAAGAAAAGTTTTGACTCAAAGATTTCAACTTATTTCATTATCCTGGCCTTGTCAAATATGAAGAGCCTGACATGGAGCGATTAAAAAATACATGTTCAGCTTCAGTTTTACAATTAACTCCTCCCTCATAAGTGCAAATTAAATAAAAAATGAAAGTGTTGTTCAAGCTCTTACCTTTACAGTATCATTTTTGCAAGTATGTAAAGCTGACTCAACAAGGCCCGGTGCATATTTCTTTTCAACAAGTTGGTCTACAGCAATCAAATGATCAAGGACCTTTCATAAAGTTAAATGAGTGAAAATAAAAATCACTATCAATAAATTCAAATCCAAAAAGAGCTTTCCATATAAATAAAAAAAACCCAATGGTTGCCATCAAGAGTGTTTGAACCCCCTAGTTATGCTCCATTAATTATGTTGCAAAATTGTCACTTAGTATAAAACAGTGGTAACTGTTAAATTGGTTTATGATCCCTTTTGCACTCATTATAATTCAGACATTTTTTAAGATGTCCACAAGGTCACATCCAGCATGATCCTGTTATTTTGGTAGAGTGCAAAATTGGATACAAATTTCCCTAACTAGATCTGTGAAGCTAACCCCATAAAAACTCCACCAAAAATTACATTATGGGAGTGTTGAACTAAAAAAAATTAAATTGAATCTATGATAAATGGAACTTTACAAATTGAGTGAAATAATAGAAATATCTCAGTTTGTTAAAAAAAAAATAATTATATAACTTTGTTAAGTATATCGGATATGTGTGCATAAATTTTAATTTGCTTCTTGTGCTGGGGGAAAATTGATGATTGGGTACTATTAGGGTGGTACTACTATTTACTTGAAAGGTTCCTTGATTTGCAACCACTGTTCAAAGAATAAAGTAAGACAGAAGTTTTTGCCTGGTCATGACAACTGCCATAAACAATGGAGAACACTAAATACTGTCAGATTAGGAATCTCTGTTGGCAAGAGAATGCATTCCAGATGCATGCTCATATTAAACTGAATCTTTAATTTTTCTAAGGTAAATAATTAACCTATGACATGAGAAAATTGATAAAATCACACTGTTGGGGATCAAATTTTTAAAACAGGTATAGGCTCCTATCACTTCAGGGCCTTCTTCAAAAATATTCTCAATCTTCTGATGTATATTAATTATTTAAGCCATTTAAACATTGTCCCTTTGGCTGACTAATACCTGCATCTAAATAAAATAATAAACTGTAAAAAAATTACAAAGGAAACACTCCTCCCAATTGCATACTGAATTTATTGAAAGCAGGTGCCGACTGAATCAACTTTATATATAGCACAAGATCTATTATTTCATACAACTAGGAAAATCAAATTATCATGACTCATATTTACCTCTTTCTCATCCATTCCAAATGTAGCCACAGCTCGGGCCACTCTTGCTCTTAGAAAGCCCATAGATGTGAGACTGTTTGTAAAGACCTGGGCCTCTCTGGAGAGGCTTGGGTAGGGATCTGACAAACCAGCTGTCTGGTTTTGTGGGAGTTGACTGGATTTGTAGTTATCTAGCATAGTTGGAGAGGGTGTAGGTGGTAAAGGTCTGTGCCTGTTCCATGGCTGGAATTTTATAGTTTCTTTAAATTAGTCAGTTGCAGATAATAAATAAAATGAGTTTGAATTTATTGTCTTATCTAGAAAACAATAAAATAGTAGCGCTAGATATTACCTCAAAAAAAATAAATAAATAGAGCAATACTTATTAATTTGCCATTTATTATGAACAATTGCATTCTGGCATCATTAAAGCAAATTTTTGTTAGAAATTATGATTTCAAAGAGCACTTATAGGAAAATGAAGAAGGATTTATGTGGAATATATTTTTCATGTAAAAGTCCAAAACTTATTCACATATAAACCTGTAATTGAAATACAGATAATGGATGGAGCATATTTTATTTTCCCCAGGGTTTTTATTTTTAAATAGACTTCAGTACAGTACAAGCACATTAAAGTTTCATGTGAAAGTGACATTAAAAAAACACACAAAAAAAAACACACAAGAATTTTATGCTTTTCAAAATACCAAGGTATTTTTTTGTGTGTGTTACACATACAGTAACCATAGTTTCAAATAGTTAAAATTCAATTAAATTTTGATAATTTTAATGGCTGCAGTTGGGACAATGGTTAAAAAATGCTGGAAACACAGAACAAATAATCCCAATTTTAATGAATTTTTTATTGCAGCCACATGCAATTTCCTATCTGGGTCCCCATCAAGTGCGATAAAAACGGATGCTGTAATGTTAAAATATTAAATCTTTTGGTTCAGGAATGAAAGAAAATTTAAGTTCTTTTGATTTATTGATGGACAATGCTTTATGGAATATTGTAAACCTTATGAAAAGTCACAAACTGCTCAGCTTTCTAAGTTGCAAATGAAAGTTATAAATGGATATGTTTAGAAAATGACTGGGACTCTCAAACAGGGCGGAGGTAATTATATTAGGAATATTATTAGCGGCCATTAACAACAATTCACATTTATTCATAGCTCGACGCTGTGAATTGACAACACTGCCTTAATAGTAATAGTATTAAATACTCTTTGCAAATACTTTCAAACATGTTCATAAATTAATACTTCTCATCAAAACATCCATGGCTTGCATGTATTATATACTATAACCTGGCATAGACTAGTAGATTTCTAAATCACGAAAAAAAAAAAAAAAATCAGTGAAGAACTCATCCTACCACTAAATAGTGATGTTCTTAGTTCATGAACACAAGGCAAAAAATATAGAAGATTATTTGTGACAGCATAATAGAAGTAAAAAAGAGTTTGGATTACAACTGGATTCGCTCAATTACCAGATAACAAATCTGGAACTTTGGATCAAGTGTTGTCATATGCAAGATGCCTAGAAACAGATAAGATGGGGTTGTCAATATACTTTTTTTTTTTTTAGAGGGTTTTTAACATCAAGAAAATTTCGTTTAGTAACATACTGTTGAAATGCATGGATCACCATTAGTGAGAGGTTACAGTCGTGGTTTATAGCTTTTTAATGAGAACAAAAGTACTACAAGTGCTAACCAATGCTTGGGCCATTCATCACACAAGTTTGGTTTCTAAAGGTTTCTAAAAAGCTCGTTTTTTTTTGTTGCAGTGAATTAAATGTTAACCCTATGCTCTCAATGATTGGATATGCTGGTAATAAAAAATTTTCCAGCAGAATCTGCTTCAGACAGAAGTTCCATGCCACATGGAAGACACATATGCTTCTTTGGGGCGTAACCCTAAGACCTTAAACACAACAATGTTTATTTATTAGAAATATTTTCTCCATGCAAAACAATGTCATGTATCAAAAAAAATAATCATTCTATTTCAAAAGCTATATTAGCTATCTGGAATTATAATATTTTCCAAGCCCGTTATAATTACGAGAGAAAGGCTAGATGCACATATTTTTTTGATTATTTTGATACCCTACTTATGGACTGAGTGAATTTAGTATCTTCTTTTGATGGAAATCACAAATTGTGTAATAGATCACTTTCATGGTGAGGCAGTCGAGAAGTTTTGGAAGAGCTAATTTAGCTTAAGTAATATTGAGTGAAAGCTTAAGTCAAGAGTTTTAGCTGCAGATCAGAACAAAATTTTGATTCCTAGTCTGCATGGAGGGTGTTGCTACAAAGCCCCTTAACATTTTTTGTTGTTGGAAGGTGATATTAGTGTGGCTGTCTATCCTAATTTGCTCCAATCAATGAATTAGCATAAAATATAGTTATAACAAATTAAGTTTCGGCTATGAGACTTAACACCATGCATGAGGCTTAACACCAGGCATGAGACTTAACACCAGGCATTGACATATTGCTACCACTTGACCAAACAAATACGTAACTTAAAAATAATTGACCAGTGAAGATGTTAAAGACGTTAGATATCTAACAAGAGCTGGGGAATCGGCATCACTTGATTGAATTGATCTTTACATTTCATTGTGCAAATATCTGCATTCAGATTTATAACTGTATTAGAAAATAAGTCCAAATGACATAATTATAATTAAAAACTTACGACTGATGCAGGATTCTGTGGAACCGCAGGTAATGAGTTCTGTAGAATTGGAGATTTTCTATTTGATTCAGCCATCTCTGAAGTTGATAACTGAAGATCTGTGCTAGACAAGCTATGTCTGCTGTATGGGTTGCCAGGAAAGATTTCCGATTTTGTGCTTGATTCATCCAATGAAGACACTAAGGAAGGGCCTACTGATGACCACATTCTGGCTCCTGATCCAGATTGTCTGTTTCTAAGAACTGGCTTTGTTGCCACAGGTGGTGGAATTAGTTTGGCAGATTTCAGGCTGTCAGCATCAGAACTAAAACCAGCAAGTGATTGGGGCTGGTCAGAAAATTTGTCAATTTGTCCCAGCTCTGGGTTGGGTTGATTGTGAAGAAAGGGGTTGTAGCCATTTCCCATTGACTGAAGAAAGGGGTTGGTTGACTGAGGTGGATTTTGAACAGTAGAAGTGCTATCCCCTGAAGTGTCTAATGGTATGCCTATAGGTGGCAGCACAGGTCTGAACAGTTTACTATTTGCCATATGAGAAGGAAGTTTTCCTCCTAAGGCGGTTTCAGAAGACAAACCGTGAGAAGGCCAGCTGGTTGGACTTAGAACACTGTGAGCCCCATTAATAAGGTTGTTCTGGAATAGAGCAGCCTGGTTATTGATCTCAAAATATTCCCCATCTTCAGAATCTGCTGGCTGAAGACAGGAGTTGTGGACCTCAGATGCAGCCCCAGTTTGGTCAGGACTTTTCTTCTGTGAGTCACAGTTTAATTTCATTTCTGGTTCATCATCTGTAAACTTTACCCATGTATTTTCTGGTATCACACTTGCTACATCATAAAAGCCTTCTGAATCTGACTCAACAGCTTGGGGTAAGATAGATGAAGGGTTATTAAAGGCTGATGGTAATTGACCATTTCCTCCAACATTTGATGGAGCAGATGAATCAAGAACTACTTTAAGCTCTTCCATATCATTGATAGTCTGCAGTTCAAGATTGTCAAATGGGTCATCTTCAGATTCAAACATAGAAACATCAAAATGAGAGTTATTCTCTAATTCATTGGTTTTTTTAGCTATGGAAGAATGTATGGGAGTTGGTTTTAATATAGTTCCAGGCTCTGAGATTGTTTTTAACATATGTTTAGGTAATACTTGAGGCTTGGGGGCAATTTTATTCTGGTCTTCTTCAGGCTGTAAGGTCTTCCTTGGAATGTCGTACATATTTGTACTGATCTGGTAACCCTCAACCTGCGTTTCTTCATTTCTTCCTGTGTCATTGTTGTGGCTGACACAAGCTTCCTGAAGTTTTTTCTCTTTTTCCCTTTGTTCTTTTGCTTTTTGTTGTTTCAAGTTTGCCTCTTTGGCTGCTGCTTCCCTTGCACGTGCCCAGTTAAGCACTCCTTCTTCTGTTTCAAATGAGTACTGAAAGTAAAACATTATTAAAAAAAGGAATTAAACTTCAATTTCCATTTAAGCAAATGATATATGTCTGAAATTAAAACTATTATCTTGCAACCTTAACTGTTAAAGCTAGTACAAAAAGTTGTAATGAAAGAGGTGGATGGACATTCAAATATTAAATGTACTGAAGACACACAATTAAAGAATATATAAATAATAAATTAATGTATGATAAGTATTCTATGAGATTTATATAAACATTTGTAGAAAAAAACAACACAAAGACAAACAAATTAACTTGACCCTATAACATAAACTTTTATCAGTTAAAGTATAAAATTGCAACCATCAGTTATGAAAATATGGTATCTAAAAACTAATTAAGATGAAAATAAGTAACAGCAAATAAATTTACCTCATTGCTTAAAACTTTGGAAATATCAGACCTTGTGAGTTCCGGAAAAGTAACAGCCTGGAATTCAAATTGAAAAGCAATATCACTAGAAAATAATTCTTTAGCCTTCAATTGATGTTTTTTTTAAGGTTAAGAAAATTGATTTTAAAAATTAAAAAAACTGCCCTGTATAATATTAACAATAACTAAAAACCATTCTTAGAGGAATTTACATATTAAGCTGATTAGTAAAGCATACTGCTAATAAATTGTTTTAAGACATATAATTAATATTACGCTTACCTCTGGCGATTGCCTGAAATTTGAACTAATTTTAAATGGAACGCCATCAAGATAAGAATAACTTGATGCTAAACCTGTAAGAATAATTTTTTTTTGGTCAATGGAGCTTAAAATATTTTCAAAACAGCCTGAAGAAAAAATGGAAATCTTAAACTGTTAAATTCATTTGGCAGAGTCCTCTATCTCAAGCCATAGTTTTAGAATAAAGGTTCCAAGTTTCATATCCAACTAACATTTATGTCATAAATAATTACAAATATTATATTGCAATTATGTATCAAAGTTTACTGTACCATGACGACCTAGACTGCTGTAGGATCTTTCCTCCATTCTTCTATTATACCCACGAGGTGAACATGATAAAAACTGGAATTAAATAACAGTGATAAGACAAAAACAATATAGAAATATGGATGTCAAGGAAAAAATGTAATTCCGAGTTGATCTTTTAAAAAATTATATTTAGGGGTGGCATTTTAGGCAAACTACAGAGTTTTTTTCGATTTGGGGGGGGGGGGGGGGGGGGGGGGGGGGTGGGGGGGTGGCAGTAATCTTGGCCCACCCCAGATGATGTTAACCCTAGATGAGCCACTGCATTTTATGTCAACATACTTTAATCACATGAGCACATTATAAACTGAATAATTTTGGCACTCTTGGATACATTATGCCGCAGCACACCTAGTATCACACAGTGGAATGCCAGTGTGCCATGGAACACGAGTTGTGACGCTCTGTATTAAAGTGCTCTGCAATGAAAGAGCTAATGTGGTAATATCTCAATTAGAAGTTTACACAGGGAGGAAAATGTTGGAAGAATAAATGATGGCTAGTTCATCTTTGTAGAACAAGCTATTTTTCTTGGATAGCACTTAGATGAACAGGAATTGGAAAATGAAACAGCTGAAGATCAAAAGAGGCTTGTTATAGAACAAAAGAGAATGAATGTAAAATAGAGACCTGGCTCTACATACAGCTGCCATGTAAACAGTTTTTAGATGAAGTGTGGGCCAAGTTCACATTCTTTTCAGCCTGTCCCCCAGCTTTGTAAACCTATTAAGTGTGGACAAAAATAGAAACCTCCCCTCCCACTAGTTGGATCACAAGAGGGCTGAATGAACATATATTCTCTATAATATTTTCCTAAATGTTAATATCATAATTTAGCATTGTAAATAAAATGCTACTGACCCATTATGATAAATTACCATTTTTAATTGTAAAATTTTTATCATGCCTTCTGTATCAACTAGGCATGGAAAAAAAGCTACGGGACACAAAAAAAATGCAAGCGCCATCTGATAATTTGTTCATATGAGTTTCCTTTGGCTGGATCTAGAGATATTAAAGTTGTGCTATCTAGTTGAAAATGGGTCCCTAAACCTTACGTTTTTAATATCACACTATGGGGTTTTCCAATACCTTGTTTTTGATATCAATGTAAAATTTTTTAAAGTTTTTCCAGATCTCATTTTTTATTAAGTTAAAAAGTTCCAGGCTATGTTTTTCTAAGGAGAAGATATAAAGTTTACATTACTAATTTTTTCTGAAATTCCAACTTGAGGCAAATTTAAAGAATTTAATAATTGTAAAATTAATGACACCTGCATATAGACGGGCTTTGAATTTAAGATTCTAAAATACAGAAACAGGGGGTAGCTTCTTCTCTATATCAAATAATTAGTTATTTCTCTGAGACATATTGACAAACTTGGTATTAAAAAAATCATAAAATGGTTAACCCTTTCATTACTGCTGGTTTTGGCATCAATTTTTGCTGACTCAGCAATTCAAGATGAAACAATTCCAGTATTATTTTATTCTCTATCCGATTGGCTAATTAACTTCTCTATAGATTAAGGAATAAAGATATATATATAGCATTGAAACATGATCTCAACGCGACGTCCTTGGTATTTCAGAAAAGTTCTTTGCATCTTTGCTATGACGACAATGTGACGTCCTTGGTAATTGAAAGTGGGTGATCGTGACGTCGTGTTGAAGTCATTGAAAAATATAAAGGTTAAGCTTTCACTGGGTACCAAACAAATATTTTTGTATGTTTGATATCCCATTATGATTCACTTTTTAATTGACAAATTGGGTTGTGCACTTTAGTAATATTATTATAACTGGAATAAAATTAATTAGACACAAACAATTTGTGTAAATAAAACATGATACGTTAAGCTTTAATAATGGTTATTTATAAAACCCAAATGTAGACATTTCGGTGAACGCTTTCATCAGTACAAAAAAAAAAAAGAGTTCATATTAGTATAAATTAGATTTACTTAATATATATTATGGCGGCGGCTATTCGGACCCGGGTCTGAGAAGTGAGAGTTTGGGTTTATTAAAAAATATTTTAAAATTATTGTAGGGTTTGTAATACAAAATTTGGTTTCAAATGAAACTTTATTGAATGAACTATACTATTATGTTTTTAAACTTATTTCTTCAGTTTATTTAAAATAAACCACCACAAATGACATCCAAATAGCATGTAGTAAAAATGGAACTGGAAACGCATCGCCGCTATTCGGACCCGGGTCCCAATAGACTAAATGCTATTCGGATGTCATTTGTGGTAGTTTATTTTAGTTAAACATAAGAAGTAAGTTTAAAAACAAATCGTACATTCAATTATCTTTCATATGATACCAAATTTTGTCTTACAATCTAACAATAATATTTTTAAAAAATTTTTTAATCCCAATCTCTCACTTCTCTGACCCGGGTCCGAATAGCCACTTCGATATATTATAAATATTCGATACATATATATACAAGTTTCCTATCTAAAAAAATTTGGAACTGGTTAAATATCATATCATACATTTACATATCCAAGTTAATTTTAATAAAGATTTTTGAAAGATGGTTGGTGATTTCTGGCTGCCATTCACTAACATGTTAACGCTGGGGTCTAGCAAAACATTCACAAACACTTAGTTTAATTTAAAATTTAATTTAATTAAGTTTAATGTAACTAATTTAAAATAGCTATTACTAAATTAAGCATTGATGAATTGTCGATGGACTTGAAATTGAGTGAGAAAGAGACTGATTTACCCAGTACTAGTACTCACTTTGTTTCAGTGAGTTTCAGCGTCAGTGACTGAGTCAGTGCTTTAACAGTTTTAAGACAATTTAAAAGATATTTTTTATTTAAATGAAAGATCATAATAATATAATAAAATAATGTAGGTTTATAGTATAAATTATAATATAATGTCAATATATAAAATATAATATAGGCTAATTTAGGCTTATTAATCTAATTACTTTTATTAATCATACTTTTTAATTTTATTAACTTCAATTAACATTGACGACATTGAACAAATAAACAGAATATCCATGACATATTTATATCAACATTTTTTTCAAACACTAATAATAAATAACAGGCTAAATAAGTAAATACTAATACTAAATAATACTAAATAAATTAAATTAGATGTAAATAATAATATAAATATTTTCACAGTCACAGGTGACCAGATACAAATATGAGCGAATTCTTATAACGAAATTGCGTTTTAACCATGACTAGAAACACTCGTGTACCTGAATTCAAACGTCAAAAAAGCAACGCATTAATACTATTGTCATTGTTTTGATGTATATGCCTGTCTATTAAATTTCCTAAAAATATCATATGAATCAGTGAATCAGTGTAGCAATAACAGTACTGCCTTTTAATCATTCAAATGATGTCATTTCCCTTTTCTCCGAGTACATTCCCTTGATTCATCAGAAAGAAAAACAAACAAAAAACATGGCGACTTGCTGTCTATGAACACGATTAAACGTGTTTACATTGACATTCCAATCCAAAACGGTTGAAATACAATTTTGAAAATGTCCTCATGGAAATCGAAGATGCCGTCATCTGCAAGGCGCCATATTAAATTAGAGCAGTTTTCTCAATTTGTCAGGTAGACACATATGACAACGTAATAGCATGAAAAATATTTTTTTGCGCAGTACAAGATAACGTACCGTGTTGGTTACCAATGACGCTACCGCTATATTATCATTAAATGGTTTTTTAAAACTGTTGTCGATAATTATTCACATACGACATTTCCACAAAACTGCACTTATCATAGTTTATAAATAAATTAATGAGTTACAAATAATTAGTGAACAATTTGTGTAAATTAAAAAATAATAAAACAATCTAACAATTAGATCTATACAATACTATTACAATACAATAAAAATTATAATGTTATGTGAATGATGTAGGCCCTAAATGTAGTCTTGTAACTTGTAGTTAAGTTGTCGGGTCGGACCATTTTTTTTTTTTTGAGTGTCTGCCAAGAAGATGAGCCCTTTTTACAAACTCGGCACTCATATTGCAAAAAAAAAATTATTAAAAAATAAACTGTTTCCTTTACATGTTTAAACTTAAACCTATATTCTTGCAGTAAATATTAATTGAATTAACTAATACTAATACAATCTTTATTCTTTATGATTATGAATCAAACTAAAATCTCAACATTTGTGCAAATGAGCAATTCTAATCTGCATAAGTTATGCATGCAATTTTTTGTTACACTTAGACTTGTGTGAATTTTTTTATAAATAATTCCTAACACTTGTGTTTTGGGAAACAAGGCTCATGGAGGCCCTTCAGACATCTCTGGCACATGGTTCTCCTTTTCCTGCCCCCGGCTATTTTTTGCTTATTGCTGACACTCATTGTAACTGTAACAGGTACCCATTTATGATATAGGGAACTTCTCTTGATTTGGGTGTTATTGAGAAAGTTGCTGGCATGCTATTGGTCTCCCTCACAAACCTGTGAGTGATATTTAGATTAAAAAGTAGCAGAAAGTACTCAACTAGGGTGCTTATGCCTTGAGGCATATTTATAGGTATTGGCCCTATATTTTCTAAAAATTCCTAGAGACATCTCTATCCATTTCAGGACCTTTAATATAAAACCAAAGGTTCACAACATTATCACCAACATCATCCTATTGATCGTCTTCATTAATTTCCTGGTTGTTTGCATCAGTGTCATATTTACTGATAGAATATCTAAATCACTAAGGATAGTTTGATCAGTGTCACTGTCAGACATTTTGGAATGTTACGATATTACTTGCAACACAAAAAAACATGAAAGCTAATAAAAATCAACGAGGCTGCCATTAAAATACAGGATGTGCAGGAAATGTAAGAAGTAATCTGATTGGCTGATTGTTGCACTTGTTAAGTTGTTAATTACTGGTGATGCCACAGTACATAGCAATTTAAATAAAACCTGCATTTATTTACATTGCTAATTCAGGAGGGGGGTGGGGGGCAAATGCCCCATCCTGTCCTACCCAAATGACTTCTCTAGTTGTATCGGTATTACCACAGTTCATTTTAAATATTATAATTTTTTAAAGGATTTTGACATTTATTGTATTTAATAAATTTGTATTATATTATTATTAGAGTGACATATCGCATTATACTTAGACATGGAATTATATGTGGAACCTGTTATACTCGGTAATTAACGGTAAGTTTCATCATCAATATGAGCAGATAGTACTTGGATTCGTATCCGGATTTGGCAAATTGTAGTCCTAAAAAACTCAAATTCCGTACCCAGTGAAAATGTCTACCCATTTGTGCTGTAAATTTATGTCAAATTGTAACACATCACAATAATTTAATTTATATATTTAAATTTATTGAGAGCTGCTCCTTTCAAGGGCATGGAATCATGGGTGAATGTTTTATCATTAAATAGGTTACGTGAGACGCTGTAATGAAATAAAATGAAAGTATGGTTAAAAGATGTTAGACAATGCTTAATAAATAGGTTTCTGTGAGCTGTTTGAAATTCATTCAGTGAAAGTCCATGTCCCAAGGATGTTTATGTCAATTGATTGAAAGCTATGTCAGTGTTTTAAAATGAGTGGTTATGTATACTTTGAGTTATGGAGAGAGTGATTAGAGAGATATTGAGAGTTTGAGGTATACTGGACCTGTAGTATATTTGGATAAAAGTAACATCCTTTTTGAGCAGGTATAGGTCCATGAGGATCTATTGTTATTCATGTATAGTCAAGCCTAGTCTACTACTGTGAACTGTTATAAAGTGTAAATAAACTCTTCAATATTGCTAACTCGGCGTTGGAGTTTTACTTGATATCCGTCGCCTAACCGCCCTGCATCTATATCACTCAGGCACTTCAGTAACAACCCAACATCTAATAAATTGACATACTGTGAGCAACAAAAGCCTGGCAGGCAAACAACAGTTTAATATTGGACAGCTTTCCAGCATCCAAATAAAAAAAAATTATTAACATTTATCCCCCTTCAACTTAGGATCTTATCCTCTTGTCTTTTACACAAATTGAAAATGTTATAATTAAATAATAACAGCTTTTAAAAACCCAGTACAATGTATGTAATTGAACTTGTGTAAAAAACTTCAAGAGCTAAAAACAATCTACCAAATACATATTGTAATGGCTTTACAGGTCACACAAATCAGCCTGCTGCATAAATTAAATAATCTTGCCTGTAAAACACTTATTTGTATGTTACTTATTAGGAAATCTATTAATTTATAGACATTGGTTATGATATACAATATAAAAAATATAACAGTAAATCTGTGTGCACGGTCAGTTCAATGTGATAGGAAAAAAATAATTCAATATTTGGGCCCAAGCAAATTAAAGGCCTTAATTGTGTTGGAGAATTCTACCAGGTTGATGGGTCAGCCAAGTATTACCCTATTATCAGTGCCATTTTATGGCATAGGAATACTGAGCACTTGCCCAGGGCCTCAAGCTTCTAGTAGAATCAAGCTTCTAGAGGCTCTGTGCTTTACATATTGTTAAAATGAATATTGATAGATTTTGGAAATTAAATTTGATTTAAAAGTCAAAGGACTGCAGGTTTCCCAATTTTAACCCACGATATTATCGGCACATTCCAAAATTAATGTTATAAATTTGAATCACAAATTGTATACTCCTTCCTTAAAAGGGAATAACTCTCGTCAACAAGTTTTACTTTTCCCTGATGTGAATCAAAAAATAAATAAATAAAGTTCACATTTTTTTTTCACAATCATGTTAGACTAAGATGTCATGGGTCTGAGCTGAAGGCAGAAAAATATAGGCATTTAAGCATAATTTGTACTCGCTGCTTAAAGGTTCATCTTACAGATCTCAAAGATAGATATTGATTTTATTAATTGCAACATGACTATCATTTCCAAGTATTTCTTTTTAGCAGGGCACTTGTGAGTTTGAAAGGACAGACCGTTCCATTTTTAAAAAAAAAATCTTGTGAGTGGATTCAGCGCAAATAAAACATAAATATTTGTAATAAATTAATATGTTTCTAGGTGTTTAACCCTCTAAGCAGAAATTAAACTTAGTTTTATGAGTGGAGCACAGAAGAGAAAAAGAGCTACAGTTACAGAATAGATGAGGAAAGCAGTTAAACTTACACAATTAACAGCTTGGTTAAAATTAAGCAAAATACCAGTTACTCAAAATACAGTAGCTTCAAAGAGGAAATACACAATGCTGTATCTGAAAACGAGATTGTGATTCATGACTCAGATCAGGGGCTATGGAATATGAAGAATATTTGTACAATCATTGTACAATCATTGTGTCAGAATTATGCTTTTCAAATTCAGACCCTGGAGTGTACCCTGGAGCTGGAGAAGAAAGAACTGTGAAATGTAAAGTGTGTAAAATGCGATTGGCTACTCTATTCACCATCCCAGCGTTGTTTGTATTGTTTTACATACCGTCTTTGTCTAAGAAAGAATAATCTTGTTCTTGATGAAAATTGTGAGACTCACTGTGTTGTTAAAACAAATTATCACAGACAACTTGAAATCTGTATTTCCTAATGTTAAAATTGCATTCCAGAGCGTTCATGTCCATGATGAGCACCAACTATACAGGTGAACATTCATTTTCAAGTTTGAAGCTCACAACGAATCAGCTTCGCAGTACAATGTATCAAAAAATATTTGAACTGGCTTTCACTTATTTGCATTGAAAATGACATCCTTAACACCACTGAGTTTAAACCACTTATAAAACAATGCTCTGTAAAAAAGATCACAAAGAATTGTTTTGATTTATAATAAATAAATTATTTATTTATCCTTCCATAATGATAATATATCACCATCTGTAAATAATTATAGTTTATTTTTGATGTTTTAAAACTATTATTGATTTTGAAATGATTTAGTTTTTGCACCAATACATTGAATTAATCTATTTTCAAATTTATTGAATGGTTATTTTAATTTTATATTGTATTCCTGTTGGTGAGTTGGTAGGAGAGCATGGCGTGGTGTTGATAGGGGGCGCTAATGCATTCCTTTGCCCAGGGCCTCTATTGTTGTTAAAACGGCCCTGCCTGGTATCAAACACAAACTATAGAAGGCCATTTTTTTTTACCCCACTCCCATTTTAGATGCTCTTTCCCAACTTCCATGGTTTGAGTACTTTTAACTACCACACAATATCAACTGCCTTACTGGGCTGGGAATTCTATTTCTCCTGTTTATTTTCGAATACCTTAATGACTCAAGATTAGTTCAAACCCACCAATAACTATTATGAAATAGGTGATTGCTCTACATATCTGATAAATATCTTTTTATAATCAAATAAGTAGTGTTTGGTTCATAGTTTTAGTTCCTCTCCAACACTCTGG